AAATCGATGCGATCGATAGTTTTTTCTTTGCGATGAGCTACGTTTCGCGTTACCGATTCGCCGAGAGCGTCGTCAAAAATTGATCCGTCGGAGTAAATGCTGAACGAAGTGAACAAAACGGTGGACGGTTTTTACACCGGATTTTGGTATCAGGCAAATCCCAGATGCGTCAATAATCGACGTGCCCATCGTTCACCGTAGCAATTTTACGAGCCTCGTTATCACTCGCGCGGACCGACGCGACGCGACGCGACGGTATCGCCGAAAAGCCTCCTCTTGCACGCATCCACCATCCACGGACAGCTGTGGTTCCGAGCCGGGGCTAATTCATGGATTCGAGAGAGATTAATTGGCAGAGAATTAAAAGTGCCACGCTGTCAGCGTCGATATTACGACACGGATGGAAGAAAGCACTCTTTTTTTTTTCCCCCTCTATATCCACTGCCCGCGTTTTTAAACACGGAACAGAGCTGACTTTCGTATTCACATTTGCGAAAATGGCGTAACGGTTGATTAATTCTGAAAGTAGTTGCGACGTTGGGAAAACTTTTTCCGCGTTTCATAAAAATACAAAACGTTGCTCTCTGACGAAATTAATTACGTTGCGATGCACGTGTAAAAGCAGATTAAGATGAAATCTCTAATTCTCTCGATTTCTTTTATTTTAATTGAAATAATAAGACGGTCTTTTTTCGAGACCGTCGCGTTACATTTAGCAACGGAATTTTCGAAATCATTACGTGGAATCGGATTTTTTACGTCCAGACAAGAACGTTACATTTTGTATGATATAAAATTAAGATATTAAAATATTTCCACAATGAATTTTTTAACGCGCTTAAAGTCAATCCTCTCCGAGGGTAGCGAAGAATTTTCACCGAATGATTAAGATTCTAGAGACCGCGTTATAATTACCTGATACGTTCGACACATTATCGAGATTCTACCTCGGAATTCCAAGGAAATACTTCCGCGGGCGCGCTATCGCAAATAACAGATAGTACGCAACGCGCGTAAGTGGGCAAGCGGCATGACACTCGGAAGAAACGGAGCAAACGTATTTTCTTACGTAATTCGATCCAAGAGTGATGCATCGGCCAATTCATCATCGCGTTCAGTTGCATACGTCGCGCTGATCGTTGTAACGGGACCATTTTTACCGCCGCGCGCACACACGGCTATCTTCCCTTGCCAATTCTTCTTCGATTTTCTCCTACGATGCCGTCGAGCATCGTATATACGTATGTATCCGGTTGTTTAAACGTGCAATGGATTATACGGACGTGAGACTCGAACTAATGCCGAATGTTCCGCATCGCCGATGATTTTCAGTTGGATAAACCGGCCGAATGCTCGGCGGGAGAAAAGTTGCGAAAACGATCGTCCCGCACGGCGCATACTGTTCATGACCGGCCCGGAGGAAAACTTTGATCGTTCAGGACAAAGCGAATTCCAAAAAGGAAGCGCGCAAGCAGGGACGAAAGAGAGAGAGAGGGTGGGAGGGGGGGAGAGAGGCAAGAGTAGAGGCCGTGTCGCGAGAAAAATAGAGAAACACTTGTACGCAAGAACGAACGTGACCCACCCTCTGGGATGTTCCGAACTTAGGCAATAAGGCGACAGTCAGTTGCAGAAGGTCGTGCGGATAGTTTCGGAAACTTGCTGCGCGCCCCCGGCAGCCGTTTTCCGGCTCCTACATTTCGGTAATAATCCGTTGCTATTTATTAACCCATTCTCTTGATTCGCGCCCGTTCTTTCCGTCCTGCTGGCTTTCCTCTCCTTCGGTCTAGTGAAAACAATCGAGGGAACACTCGCACGTACAATATTATAGGGCTGAGTGTTGTGGACGTTTACGTACGCAAAAGAGGTAACTGGAAATCTGAATCGTTACTCTTATTCCCAAATTTGATAGAAAACTTAGGAAAAATATTCATGTTAAGTTTCAAATATTCACATGCAGCGTATACAAATTGTGTGGCAAACTTGTACACGGAGAGAATTTCATCTTGAAAATCGTGCGATCTTGACACAGCGCGGCATTTCGAAGAATTTTATGAGAGTTTTTTTGAAATTTTACCATACATTTTACTAGTAATTATACTTACTATACATTTTTCAATAGTAAAATGTGTGGCAGAATGTTTATACAGTTCTTCGAAATGCCATGGTGTCCCACGATTGCACGATTTTCAGGGCAAGTTTTAAGAGAAAATTCTCTCCGCGTATACTTGAAAAGCGTGATAACAATTTTAAATTAATTCATTAAAAATTAATTATTACAAATCTTTCTTTTATGCTGCAGCGTGCCATCTGATAAGCGAGTAGCTTCAGAAAAGTGCACATTTGTTTAATAAGTCATTATTAATTTACATGTGAATAGATATTCATGAAGTTACGTGGGTGTAAGCGAGGCAAAATCCTTTTATTCCTTGTCGGGTCAGAGTCCTTTTGTTCGCTCCCTGTTTTTCACCCGCGGCGTAATTTTTATACGGTCATTATCGCCATTAGGCAAGTGCGTGCAGCTCACCTTCCAACGGCGCGAGGGTCTGCGAAACTAAACTCAGCATCTCGCGCGCGATGTCTGACGCGCGGATCGGAACAAAGCAACGCTATCTCGAATAATTACAACCCGCCCTCGCCGTACAAAATTGTTTTCAACCGCCGCCGAAAATCGCTTTCGTCCCTCAGATACCTGTCGCTGCAAATGTTTCACATACACGCAGGCTATTCCACCCGGCTATCTTACGTATCGATAGAAATATAGAAAGCTGCATAGACGCGAGAGAGAAAATATTGAAAAAACGTATCGCACGGCTTTTTTTATCCGAGAATATTTTTACAATCTGTACGCGCGCACATCTGTTTCGTCTGTGCCAACGTTTATTTGAACAATAGCGATATAAGCTTTTACATCGCTATGGGAGTTTATTTCGTCCGTAATTATATTGGGTCATCCCATAAATAACGCGGCATAAAAGGGAGCCTGATTTATTCTTTGGCTCAAGACTCGAAAGATTTTCATCGCCAGGAAATTGAAAACTTAAGATTAAGACGGGAAGAAGTTGCAAGTAATAACGAAAACATATTTTAGATAAAAATGCAAGCTCCAAATGTTTTCAGTCGTACGTGTAAATTCAAACATAGAAGTCTCTTTAAGTTGCTAGTAATAGACAACAATAATCAAGCTTTTTTTAGTCGACATTAACCGGCCAGTGTTTATAATACAGAAAATTTATTGCGAAAAAATATTACCTCAGCCAGGATTCGAACCTGGACCTCCCTACTCTCGATCTAGGCGTCTCACCAATTCGACCGCTGAGGCAGGATTTTTCGCGATAAATTTTCTGTATTAAAAACAGTGACCGGTTAATGTAGACTGAAAAAGCTTGATTACACCAAATGTTTTGTTGCATTAAAAAGATATGTCTCTGAGAAAGCATTTACTTACGACTCAAAGAATATTATTCTTGGGAGTATACTCTGTGCTTTTATAATGACCAACTCTTTAATTCGGATAAGTCCCAGATAATTTTCGAGGGTATCGCGGGTATCACGGATTTGAACGTTAAAAGTATCATTCGTGCCAAAGCAGTGGACATCGCAGTAAATTAAATCGGAGAAGTGTGTTACGCCGGGGAAATAAAAGCATGGTAAACCCGTTATGCAAGTTGCGCCGGTGGCCACGGTCCCTCGCAGATCCGTTTACGACGGGAAAGAATGACAAAAGGAAAGCGGGGCGCGACGGATAAGCGGAGGGAGAGCGCACCTAGTTTGAAATTTCAAATTCATTTACGGTCCCGCTGCCGAGTTTTAATCCGCTTTAATTATGAAAAATCGTCGAGTGCTGCCGACCTATCTACCGACCTACCTTCCATCCCTTCGTCTTCTCCCCCTTCCCAGACATTCCTTTGCGTCACTTTTATCGCCGAAGCGAAGATCGTCAGTCTCCCTTAACTGCCATATTTTCCCCTTTTACCCACGCGACGTCTCGTTACCGTAATTACTTCATGCTCGTTGCAGTGTAAATGTTATATTAGATCGTTATAAAATGCCAATGAAATGTACGCGAAATTATTGTAATTAGACGCATTTACAATCGCAAATTCTGATAAAGCCGCCTTCAAGATGGACGATACGAGGTTAAATTTTCATCTGTAACAATCTAGTACGAGATCTGTGAATGTTGACGAAATATTCTACCCTTGCTATCTCATCCAGACGTTCCATTTCCTTCGCTGTCATGTATCTCTCCTGTTTATCGACATATTCAATTACTGTGATGACGTGCACATTAGATCCCGCGACATCCGGACGTATATACAAACGTACGCATTCTCCTCTTTCCTCGGATATAGCGATAAGAGAATTGGCCGGAATACCTTGTTCTTTTCTCATAGTGCTTTTATACCATTCGGTAAACTTACAAAATCAGGTTATATTTGCGGACTCCGGGCTTTACTTGTTTCAAAGGTGACCATTACGGCCGCGAGTAGTACGGTTCTGATTAAAAGGATTAAAAGGAACCTCTAAGAGTAAACTTGTGCGGCACTACGCAGCCTCGTGTGCCAACGGCATTATTACATTAGGACGTGCATTATCAGGAATGCAATCAAAATTATGGGCGTAATTTTTTAGTCAAAGACAGAAAGAAATGGCTGTAACTCTGAAATACATTAAGCCGACTGTAGACTCGTAGAGAATAACGTTACACAATTATGATACAACGTGTTATGATCTAAAAATTAAAATATAATCTAAACTCGCGAAAAAATTGCGCACTCGACCCTTTTGGCATCGCCTAACTCGAAAATAAATTGAAATCGCTGCGCCGCGTCGTGCTGTTTAACAAGTCAAATTAATTTACAGTAATCCGTAGCAATCAAATTAATTTGTAGCAAATTCTCCTTTCTCTCGGCAAATCTAACGAGCAAAATTTGCCCGCATAAATCTGAGTTATATAAATCTGGTGTCTCGGAAATAGAAAAAAAAAGAAGACGCACACACCCAAGTCGGAATGTAAAATAGAGACGTATCTCTGTACGTGTTTTATACGTTCCCGACAAGACGTGATGCATCGTTTACAGCACCGTCCACTTTGCACGTCTTCTTCGGCCTGTTTAACTTCTTGAGTTCGATGTCCATCGATCTTCTCCTTGACTTCCCCTGCGCAAGTACCTTGCGCCAGTCGAACGTGCGTTCGAAAGGCGTGCTCTTTAATTTGGCCAGAGCCTCGGCTTGCACTTCCAGAAAATTGTATATAATTTCTTCCTCGGGATCGGCAAAGACGTCCTTTTAACAGAAAGAATAATTAGTGAGACAAGCATTTTGATGCGCACAATTTTCACACAGATCTAAGAGAGATCTAAAAGTCCGGAAGAAATATATTATCAATTTTTCTGTTATACATACAGAGGAAACTCCTCTATTACGAGATTGTAGGTTTTCAACGTCCAAATTCATTTATCGCTTTACATCGTGACGTACACTTTTATTCGAGCGCATGCTTTTTGTATTGCCTATGAAGCGCGATACCGCGCTAATTATTTGCAAAGGATTGCCGTAAGATTAATTGATTCCCTTGACGTACTTCTTTCCGTGGAGCGGTTTCCTTCTTAATGAACTCGTCGATCGTTAAGCGTCTGTCGGCCGCAGAGACTGGCAAAGGCGGCAACAAAGTTTCTCTGCGCTCCCGATGCTGCTCCGGGAAGAGGAACACGACGGTTTCCTCAAAGATCCTGTCCTGCAGATTCAAGATCTCGCGTATCTTACGCTTCTTTGTCCTCGCCTCCTGCCGCAACCTGAGAACCGGCGCGCGTTGCCTCTCGAGGACGTCTTTTCTGAGCCCCTTTTTCTCCAGGATCAGTCGTTGCATGCGCTTTACTTCCATTGACATCCATCGTTCCTTGGCTTCTTCGAGGAACTGCCAGGGCTTCCGACGCTGTGAATAGTACGAAATTAACTTATTGTTAGCAGAAAAAGGGAGATCGGTTTCCTCCTCCGCGCAGGCTGCGCCCTGCGCCGACGACTCGGCTGACGGCGCCGGGGGTTCACCAGGCATCGTTATTTACGCGGCTGTAAACGCTTCGGTTCGTTCGGCTGCGGTTATCCGCGCAGTGTGAACCGAGTCGTGCTATGAATAGAATGAAAATCATTGAATTATTTATCGATGCGGAATATTAGAGTGATCCGTACCGCGGCTCTCGTAGGTGTGGCCGCGCGAGCCGCCGCTTCGACCGTGTCGGCTTTAATCTTCTCCTCGGCCTCCAAACGCTTTTTCTCACCCTCCATCTTACCGAGCTCCTTCTTCATTTCGATATCCTCGAGATTTGCTTCGCGCCACGTTTCCTGCCAGGCTTGAAACTCGCTTATCTGATCGTATGCGGAAATGGATAATCGTATAGAGATGGAAGGGGCGAGGCAATTTTTATTACCGTTAGCAGTAAAATTTACGACGAATTACTACAGAAATAACAGAGCAAAGAGAGAAGGATCTTTTTTTACTTTTACGAACGCAACTCCCATTAAGCTCCGGTATAGTTCCGTCTTGTACAAGTATCGAGTTTTAAGAAGCGACCGCGTGTAGAGATTCGCATGCTGTGCGAAACGATGTTCTTGTACGTCAAATATGTGTAGAGGAAAGTCCCCTATTACGAGATCGACTTCTAATATGAGGCAGCAGGTTTTCAACATCGAAATTCAATCACGAATCTTTTTGCGCGACAATTACACGATTTAACAAACAGATTTCACTCTAAGGGCAACAAATTCATGATGGAATCAACAGATGATGCCTATTAATTTAGTTACAACTCCGCTATCTTATATTAGGAACTTATGTCGTAATAGAAGACCTTCCTCTATATTGCCAGTGAATGGAGACTCGGCTAATTAAAACATCTGGTCGCAATGAAACAATTAGATTTGATAACACGATTGTTGTCTCTACTGTTTTTTTTTATTCGATATATAACGCAATTCCTTTCCGTCTAATAAAGACGCATTTGCCTTTCGGAACATAAATTTCGAGTTACTCCGTTCAGACGTTTAATCGATATCGCTCTCGATATATCGCTGTCGCGTCCCTTTTTATCTCACCCTTTGAACCTGTCGGTCGATGAACTTTTTCATCCACTCGACGTCGCCCACGTCGTACGTCAGTAAGACACGCGGCGCCGTGAACGTCCTTAAGGAGCCGTTGAAGTCGCAAAATCCGATACACTGCGGCTCCAGCGGCAGCTCGTGCGTGTAGACGCCCGTAATTATCCGCCCGGACAGACTCTGCACGAAGCTCGGCTCGTGGCTCTTCACTATGAGGTCCCAAATTTCTACGGTGCCGTCCATTCGTCCCAGAATCAGAACGGTCGGACGTATAATCCCCCACGAGCACGCCGAGTATCTGCGTTTGATAGAAGAACACAGTGGTACGAGTAGATCGGCGCTGACTAGACGTTGTTACAAATAAAAATAATATATTGCGGTTTTGACAATATCGCGCAATACTTGAGTGCCGATTTTCCAGATAATTTTTAACGGGGAAGTTACGTGCTCCATCTCTCTCTCTCTCTCTCCTCGAAATGAATAAAAATATACAGAGTTAATGAGACAGAATAGACCGTTTGTCGAGTGCCTGAATCGCGGGAGTGTCGGCCCGACAACGCTCGATAATGACTGCTGCGGCGGCCGGACCGCGTACGGCCATACATTGGAAATAGCTTTCATTAACGGAGTAGTAACAGCACGCGGGTGCTGTAAATGTAAGTTATGATCGTATTGTCATGCAGATCATACCGAAAGTTCGGCTCGCGCGCCGTCGAAAACTATGCGCGGCGCGTGAAACGCGAGCGAGCGAGCGGCCATCCGGGTGCTTGTGCCGGGCAATGCGGAAACGCTATCGTCGCAATTACACGCCGTACACCGCGGCAATTTATCGCGCGCGGGCTCAGCTCGTTATTTTTATTCCGAATGAAACGCGAGCGCGCGGCGTGTTGCCGCGTTTATGTATATTCATGACCATGTTTCGTTAACTCCCGCGATATTGACGTTTCTCCTCGAGGAGTAATTCTCGCCCGCGCCGCAATTCCCGCGATCCCGGCTCGTCCGCGCGGTTATTTTAGCGCGAACAGCCCCCCGTCTCTTCCGTCTCCTACCACTTTTTATCTCCCATCTCTACGCACGGCGAGAATCACTTAGCGCCCGGCGTTTATTTTGACGCGGAAGCGGAAGTTCAGTTTGCTCTAGCTCGTCCAGGCGCGAGCTTTTTTATTCCACCCACCCGACGTTGGACTTGTTCCAAACGAGCGGCTCGCCGAAATCATCCCTCCACACGGCGAAGATTTTACCGCCCACCGTGAGCACCACCTGATGGTAGTAATTGGATCTGACCGAGTGCGTGACCGGTCCATCGTGCATCCTCTTCATCCAGATCCATCGCGCCGTTTCGCGATTTACGCTCGCGTCGGTGGCGAATTCGTAGCCGGTCCACGTTATGCAACCAAAATCACCTGTTGCCGTCGTTTACGCTTTAATCCACTTTGCGCCGTTGATATTAAATTAGATCAATCTTATTCGGGGCGGGGATTTAAGTATAATTAATTGTGTTTAATCACACCTGAATTGCATTAACATTAATCAACTCGGGTGTAATCGCATCGTGTCTCAACCCGTAGACGTCAACGGCCGGAAATTGAGTCGCGGGAAAATGTTACGCAAGTCGCTTTACCTTCGGCGGTGCCGATGAGCATCTTCGGCTCCATGGCGCAGCCCGTCTTCTCGATTATAGGTTTGTAGTACTTTCTAATTGTGAGGTCGTCCCTCACCACCGGGAACGGCTCGACTTGTTCCTTGCGAAACTTTGGATTGTACATGCTGAGAGTCGTTATCACGACCTGCCGGCTCTCGTCCGGATATTGAATCACGAGGATATAGTCGGGCTTGAGGACGCGATCGAGGATCTTGAAGGGCGACGCGGGCTGCGCCTTGGATTTCGGAATATCTGGGTGAATCTTCCTCTTCCGTCTGCGAACTTGTCGAATGTTCTTCTCCGCGAGCCGCGACCTTTTGGACCAGCGTTAAAAATTAAAAAATATGTCTTGACCTTATCTCATTAATAAAAATGATATTGAGATGAGGGTAAACTAAGTAGACGATTATAGGCGCTTATTTTGCACGATGCGAATCTTCAGTGGCTTAAATATCTTGTGTCAGGGAAAAGTGAAATTTTGACGTGGTCTATGGTTACTAAAAAAATAAACCCCAAATGAATCCTTTAGAAAATTTTTACTGATCTTTTACGCGGACATTTATCTCTATCGGGTCAATTTTGACGGAAACACGCACCTCTTTCCCAACGAGGCATATAGAGTAGGGATCTAATCTCGTAAATATCGTGCCAATTTCGTATCAAGCGAGGAAACAATTCACTAGTATTGGAGCGTCTACACAGCCATTGTGGCTCGGCCGAAATGAAGAGCTATTCCCCCTTGCGCCCCACTGGGCGCGCACAGAGATCGACGAGGCCAAGGAGCTAGGGAGTTAGCAGGTCCGGAGAGGACTACTCTGGACGGCAAGGGACGCGGGAAGGGTTGGGAGCGAGGACTGAATACCGATCAACGATTATAGAGGGATGGTCTATCCATTTTCGGACCATATAAACGCCAACTTCGGAGAATCGAGGAGCGTCGGAGAGTCAAGTCGCAGGACCATTACGGTTCCGCAGACCGGGAGAGTTTCTCGAGAAGGATGAGGCCAAGAGATGGGGAGGAAGCGGAAGGGCGGTTCGTCGTCCCGCGTCCGGAGAGGAGGAGCACTCGAAAGGCAGGAGACGGAGCTCGCTCTTTAACGTTTCGCTTGCGACAAGTTTCGCGCCCGTCGAACATTCGAAGTCGCTAACTTCCAGTCTCGAGAGATACGACGGCTCCGGACCTTTCTCGTGGTTACCAATTGCTGGTTCAGATCGACCAGGCGGCCGCGTCATGCGCCGGCCGTTCGAGTTGTTCTTGCATTTTTAAGAAAAACGTCGTGGCGTTTTCGCTGGACGACGATGCCGGGCGTCGCGAAAGTGAAAGATAAAGAAAACGATTCTCCTCGACTACGACTCGGGAATATCTCTTGAATATTCTATTTCTTACGCTTGCGGAGTCGAGCGGCGCCGTAGTTTCGTACGAAAATTCGCCCGACGAATCGACATTGATTCGATGCGACTCCTCGACGGTCACGTTCAGTTCCTTAACGTTTAATCCTTAACCGATGGAACTATTCGAGTAACGCGACTGGAATATCAATATCCTTCTCTTAATTCTCACAGTTGATATACCGCCAATCCGCGATGTTGAAGCTAAATAAAGTTGGATTAAATATTTTACTCAGTAACGAAAGATAATACATACAAGTTTTTATAGAGAAACTTTTCTTCTTTAAAGATTCAAAATCTTTCCTGTAAATTCCTCTAAATTCATTGCAAGCGTATTGGTCAAGCGTTTACATAAAATGCGTTTTACATAATATTTTCCCAATTGTTTGTGCATTGAAAAAAAAGTTCTCTTTTCATCTCTTCACTTCATTGCTCTCGAATACAAAAGGCAGTATTCTCATTAGCAAATTGAGTCTTGTCTAAAATAAAAAGCGTTGCACCGAAGAGCCAGCAGCGTCTGTTAAAAGTGCTCGAGTCAACTGGCAAGGACAATGCTTACTTAAGATCCCAAAAGGCGATCGTGCCGTCCTCGCTGGCGGTTACGAACTGACAGCTTAGGTCGTCCAGGGGCGCGTCTTCCGACAAGGACGAGATCCGGCCGTTTTTGTCGACCTTGTGATGCGAGGGCACCCAGACTATCTGGGTGATGCCCGCCTTCTGGCTGTACTTGAGGGCGGACATCGCCGTCGGGCTGATCAACGACGTCGCCGTCGTCTCGCGCATCCATGTCATCAAGCTCCTCATCGCGATGCTGTACTTCACTTGGGCACCCGTCTGCGCTACCACCGTCTCCACCTGCTCGATTTTGCCGGGAATGTGCCAGATGGCGATCTACGGGCAGGATATGGATGGATTTTATCGTCCACCGCCTGTCCACCCGCCCTGTCTCGTTTCACCGTAGCCCGAGACTTTTGCATTCCACGGCCGCAGATTGTCACGGGATGTTTTCCCATACATTTTCGCGCGGACGCTTCTTCTCGTCCAAAACTTGCTAATTTCATCTCGCAAATGGCGTCGGTTAACAAGATGCGCGCAGTTTTCAGTTTAAACGGTACAGCGTTGATAAAAATAGAAACGTGAAACAATATTCGTTAATGAACTTAATAAAAATCAACACCTTTTTATAATACGAGAAGTTAAATTTTATTTTCTCTAACAATAAAAGTAAGCCTGGGACTGGGTGAACTTTGCCTTTTATTTTCGCGTTCTTCGCGTCGCAAGTTATTAAAGAAGAATATCTCGATTTCGTTGCGATTTAATTTTTTATTATAAATTTTAATATCGTCACCAATAAAACGCCGTATTTTCGTGCGTCGCAGAGAAGCACCACATTAAACAGGTTACGTAACCGAAACCGTTTGTCTACACTTTTTATCATTTTCATCAACATTTTAGCATTTTTATTAACATTTTATAGTTGCAGCGCGTAGCTTAGTTCATATTTATAGGACGTTACGATTTTAGTGCGAGTTTTAGTTTCATTGTTTTACATTTTTAACACGAATCTTTGCGGATTACAGTTGGGACGAATATTGGCAGCATGAACAATTCAATAATGTTGCATATTTAGAAAATTTTTCTTCCAATCTGCACGATCGCAGATGCATTAATTATTCTGATCCGCGCGAAGACTACACGTTCAAGTTCTTCTTTTATGCATTTAGACATGTCTAAAAGTGACTTTACACGTTTCGAAATGCGCATAAATAATCTGCTTAAAAACATATGAAAAGTTGAGAAATTTTTTTCACTGTCTCTCTTGACTCTCGCAACCGGGAATAGCGCCGTTTCCCGACACTCATGCTCGGCGTCTCGCGACGTTTTCTAATACGCGCGTTTTCACTATATTCCATTGCCCGATCGGAACGAGTGTCCCGGGTGTCATCTGATATCTAAAACATTGTGGAACATCGAGAGGAGCGGCGGGAGGATCGATGGAGGATCGCGATGGATTAATGGAGACAGGTGATCCCGGCTTGCGTACGATATTCACGTTACGTTCGTTGTTCGCGTTTGCCATGATTGCCGGCGCGCGGCACTTTTCGAATTTTCACGTCCGAAACTCTGCGCGCGGTGACAAGTCGGGCGGTGCCCGGGTAGATCCACGCACCATCGCGATGTGTTTTTCGATATACGTGATTGATATCGATCGTGTTCCATCGGATTGAACGTCCGTCGGAAGAATTTGTTTACGAATACGCGCGTGTCGCGTTATTCATTCGCGGGTATGACGTGTCAAGCGAACGCGAATGCACTGTGGGGTGGACCGGGGGGTCCGGCAGTAACGGGTTAATCGGCATTGCTGGATTGCCGTTCGTTTGCGAAATGAGGAAAATATTCATACGCGCTTTTTGCCGAAACTATACCTCTCAGGTTCTTTTCCCTTCTTAATTCTACAACAAGGAAATATCTGCTGACGCGGGGAAAGGTTTATTTTAATCACCTGGCCATTTGTACAGCCGCCTACGATAATGCTGCTATCGAGAGGGCAGACGGAAACGGATGTCACTTCTCTCGGGCATTCGAGGATGAGTTTAGGTGACAAACAGTCAGTGAAGGACCATATCAGTACCCGATTGTTGCCCTCGCAGGCTAAAGATACCTACAAAAGTATACGCTCTTGAATAAATTAAGTCACGTTATAATAATTGTATCACGCGTGTTGACGCCAATACAAAAGAACAACTTGTCCCTTGAAGAAAATTTCATCAATCATGAAATTCTTAGATCAATCTTACAAACAAATGACTATAAGCTTTCTAAGTATTCCGCGGAGCAATTGGTCAAACCTCGTCGTAAGTTTTGGGGCCTATTAGGTGCTCGCTCTTCGCATGTTGCGTGTAAGTGGCTACCGCCGTCCCGGTCCAGAATGGATGCCAGCTGAGATCGTTGATAACTTTGTCCGCAATGATCTTCCCGTCATAATAGCTCTGGTGCTCCTTGTAACCTATGGGCACCGGTGCCTGCGTGTCCTTTTCATTGCGCACCAGATTTGCATAATCATTTGTATATATATCCCACGTAGAGTTCATTAAAACCTAAGAAAAAACACTAGATAAAATAGTAGATAAATTGGAGAAGTAACTGCTATCTATTATTAAGCTCGTGCTTGAAAGAGCTAAGTATTTTAACAACTGATCTCGTAATTGAATGATGATAAAAGATATATCCCAATTGCGCTTGTGCTTTTATTATATTTGTTACACTTTAGTTACATATTATTTAAAGTTGTGTGTAAATTCAATGAATTTGTGACCCTTACCTGGTCGCACATCTCGTCGGTGTAACGTTCCAAGAAATCCTTCAAGGACTCTATCTTTTCCTCGGTGTAAGTAGACAAATCGACTGTCTCGTATTCGTACAGATATTGGTACCAGGAATTGACAGGTATCGATGGCGCCGTTTGCGCCTCGTTGTGTCGAACGATCGGCGTCACTTGCGTATACCTGCTTACCAATTTACGCCGTACATTCTCAAATATTTGCCGGTTATCCGGTAGCAGCTCGACATATCCGTCCCTCTGATCGGCCGCCTTCCTGTCCGTTAGATTTACCGGAACGTTCAGCAAATCGGCGGTAGATGTAACCTGATAGTAATTAAATGCGAAAGATACGATCACCCGGCGCATCATCAACAATGTAGGCTGCAAAATATAGCTCGCACGTCCCCCACAAATACGACTGGACAATCGCGAGTATTGCGAGATTTATAAACTGCTTCTTGCCCGATCGGAATCAGGATAAAGTGATTAATAAATAATTTACCATGATTTGTGAATGCCGCTGTGATGTTATTGTCGATTCGCCGGGGCTAGGGATTTATAGAGGCGGGATTATAGTAGAAATTTACGGTAATCGCTTTAATGCCGCGGCTTCGAATTAACGAATGCAAACTATCAATATCGTGCGTTGGAATTGCGCGGCACTGTCGAAATGTAATAAAAATTTTCAAAAATTCACGGACTATGTTGCTCGATGTTGAATATGTACGCAATCGAATAGATATGCAAGTCGCGACCGAAAAGTTTCGAGGATGGCGGAGTGAAAAGTCGCCCGACGTCGTTCGACGAAAGCTACGAGGGACACTCGAGTCAGGGTCTAGCGAATGCGATATGTGACATGTCTTACCCATATAATTTTTATCAACAACCGAAGAATTCAGTGCAATATTTCGTGTCCAATTTATTAATTTTCTTTAAAAAGACTAGTGTTTCAGCTCAATTCCAACACCTTTGAAATTAATTCTGTCTCTCTTTCTCTCCCTCTCAGAAGTTCGTAAGATATTAAATCAGCTATTATTGCATTGAATTCGTCAATTATTTATTAGAATATTAGTTTTTGCAGATTAATATTTTATATAAATTTAAATAAATTGGAAACGCGGTAGATTGAGAGAACAGACTATGATTTTTTAATGTTACAACGAACCGCAACTGTATAACTTTTAATATCCAACACCAGAACTATGACTCTTTAACGAATTGGACTATGATTCTTTAATGTTTTGCAAACCTCAATCTCGAATAGCGGCCTTGTGTTCTTGATAACGTTAGCATCGACCTCGGCACCGCCTCCCAAGTCGTGCCATTGTCCAGGAGATTTATAGATCGCGTATCTTACGCGATTCTCGTGATCCTCCCTTTGCTCCTGTATATGCTTGACGATAGCGTCTCTACCCTCCTCGGTGAGGACAATGTAGAATTGACCCTCTTCAGACAGGGACGGCGCGTAGCCGATGAAAACCTTTTCGTCGGGAAACGCGTGAACCTCGTCCTTTACCGGCAGGAAGTCGCTGCTCTCAGAGTGTAAATCTATATTATCCTCTATAATATCCTTCTTGACATGCACCCATGGAAATTCCGCGGTGACGTCTTCGCCAATGATGCAGCCGACGATCTTCTGCGTCAGCGCCGACAGATCGAGTCTCGCAATTCCCGGTATTCCCTAAGATTAACGTATAAATTTGATATTAATATACGATCTTCTCTTCTCTTCTAAACGGATGTCTCCTTTTTTGGGGGGGGGGGGAATATTGTGAAAATATAAAAATTACTTAATAAATGTTGGATATATTTGATCTGATGTATTCGACACGTTTAAAACTCTAATGGTTAGTTTGATTCAGACTATTTCTTATTCAGATGTAATTCCGATTGAATTCCTTTAAAGTCTTACGTTTGATAGAACAATTCAATAGCTCGAAGTTTTGAAAATAGAATAAACCGCTGGCATGTTGAAATATTCACCATCGAGGCGGAATATCGAATTTTCTTCGATGGCTCTGTGGTTATCTGCGTCGTGTTAAATTTCCAAATGTCGCCCACTGACGGCCGAGAAGAGGCGTAAGAGTTGAGATCATAGATAGTTCTCCGTCTTCGCATTGACGGATCATCCATTTCTATACGGATTTTATTTTTCGCCTCTTTCTCCCAATCTTGTATATCTGACAGAATAATGAAACGGATAAAGTGGCTTACGAGTAATTTTTCAAAAATAAAAAAAAAATCACGAACAAGAACGTAATCCCAGTTTTTAGGTTAATACATCAGGGTTTTATTTATTAAATGGACGAGTTGTTGTGGTGAAACATTAAGAGCTTTCTGATTAATAAACTTTCAAATGGCAAATTGATTAAAATAATAAAGATATTCAGCTAGTTTGTTTTAACAGGAAATACATCAGTCGACATTTATCAGACTCGCATGATCCACATTTAAATAAACCAAAATCAATAATCTCTTTCATTATTTCTGCCAACTCGCTTTAAATCGCGTCATTCATATTTGAACATATTTACGGTCGGCTAAGTTTACGTTTCATTGTTAACACAGTGCGTACTTCCATCCGACACGCGTATTTCATACGCATCATCGATCTTCGTTCGGTACATAATTTTAACCCATTCGTTACAAAGTTTCAATATTGCTACATTCGACGTTATCGATGTTGTTCCTTCAAATGAAGCACATTGTGTGTTTTAACAGAGCGAGTTCCGATTAAAGAATATTTGTATTCGAGTTAACAAAATAAAGCCTTTTTATTACACGCAAATTCAAAAGAATACGCTGCACAATGCCTCAAAGCGTTTCGTATTTAGCCTTGTCGTTTCAGCTGTAGTTTTCCTCGTCGAAAAGTACCGACGTGATAAACGAATACGTCAAGAAAATCATCCGGCACGGATCTAAGAAACGCGTCGATAAGATCAAATGTATATCGTGAAATATTCATCAGTCATCGTTATGTCAAATTTTCTCCCGGGGACTATAACCTACGCGATTTTTTTCCCTCTTTCCATTCCCTTTCTTCGTCAGATTTTTCTTCCGCCGAGTCGAGAGATTGTTCCACTTCGAAAAAGTCATCGTATTCCCGCACGGTATCGACCTCCTGCAACTTTTCATTCCGCGTCGTTCCTTCCGCATCTGCCTCGCGTATTTCTTTCTCCATGATGTAAACTGCCCGCTCGGTTATTTTACGTTTCCAGGGACTCCGTTGACGCGTTGAGCGACAGGTAAAGGTACAACGTGCGTTCGTAGATAGGTACGTAGGTACGTAATGCGCGTATCACGACGTGCGGTGAATGTAATCCGAGTGGCGATGCGAGATGAAAGACAGAAGAAATCTTCACGTCCGATCGGCGAAACGAGCGAATCAAGGTTCGATCCACGTCGGTGTGACAATTTTTTAATTCGGACCGTCGAGGCTTAACGAAATTTTAAGTCGGACACATTTGCGGTCCGATTGAACATTGAAAATCTCGGATTTTATCGTTTAGGGTAGTCGCGCCCCGTCCATCGCGTAGCGCCAAGTGGACGGATGTTTCGGAATACCAATTTTCCCTGGAAAATTTTACGTGCGAGCGCAAACGAGGGTGATTTAATTGTTTTTATATCAGGCGAATGAAACGGGTCGCCCGTGCACTTAACCCATTTCGCAAACTCGATATATGTACCACACATGTATTGTCAACGTTAACAGAACGTTTTGTAACCCAATGAGCAATTTAATTGCTCAGCGACCAATTCGACGTTTAAATGCGATACATCGCCAATTGATATTACGAATTAAATAATAGATTTATCGTAACAACTAACGATATTAGGAAAAGAAATAAGTAATTATAACATAGTTCGCATTGCATTACATGTACGTAAACGGAAAGGAAATAACGACGGTAAGAATTTGTCCCTAATTTGTCGCTCTCGAAAAATAGAGGAAAGTCCTCTATTATAAGATAGGCTCCTAATATGAGATAGCGAAGTTTCTGCTAAATTAATAGGCATAATCTGTTGGCTCTATCGTGAATGGTGTGAAATCTGTTTAGTGGAAAAGTGAGAATATGACACTGCTAAGTGGCGCGCATGTGTCGTTCTAGTTTTTCAAATGCGATATACATTTTGAAACTATAAACTATAAACAATTGTAAAGAAATAAAACTTACTTTATATTTGAATAAAAGATAATGCAATCGCAGCGTTGAAACTGGCTCGTATAGTATTCTTCGTAATTAAAAGGTTTCCATTGGCCCCGGCTGTTGAAATGCAATTACGCCTGGCACAAAATATAATTCGCTTGCAACGGCAAACTTTTATTTGACAAAAATAATAAATTATTGCAATAATATTAAATGCCATCTGATACCGATAATGCAATCTACAACAAATTTGACGATATCTTTATAAACAAAAATAATATAATTAGCATTCATTTGTAATTCACGTAATTGTTTTTACCGGGAAAGCTTTGTTCCTCGTTTTACGACAATGGCGGTCGCGTATTTAAATATTGTTAATGCGCCTAGCAAATAGTGGTCTCGTATTTATATATTGTTCATGCGCCCAGCAAAATATATGCAAGGAGAGATGCGAAATTAGGTGTGTGTGTGTGTGTGTGTGTGTGTGTGTGTGTGTGTGTCGTGTGTACAGTAAAGCGACTTTAAATCCTCTTATTTTTAACCAAATGTATAATTTACAGTTTGCGATACGGCAGCGAGATAACGTCTTTGTACCCTCATACTTTGCACACATCTTAACTCCCTGCTACATTATGATGTTATGATTGCGCGAGGGAGGGTCGTTCTCTACGTTAAATACGAGGCAAATATTTATCCAAGATTATGGCGACGTAGATGATAACTTCATTCTGCACGCAATGCAGAATATTCTTTATACATATACATGTATACAGCACATGTATATTTATTACGTGTGTATACGCATATGTATGTTATATGTATAACAACATATACATATTTCGAATAGATAGCACGCGTTTGCGCTCTAATTGTCAGCGGAATTTATGACTTTCGTGAATGCGCGCGGAGCCGGTTCCAAACAATGCGTTCACTTGTCAAATATTCGACAAATTCAAATGCGCCGCATTTGCGTGTAATGGATTTAACTTTGTATTGTCACGCACAATTAGAACATTGTCACGCCGACACGCGTGATCGTATTCGCATGATGTGACGCTTGTCTCAACTTAGCGAATATTTATTGAGTTGGGAACGAAGGAAAAAATAAAAGCGAGAAGCAAAAATGAAGGAGTGTGTAAATCATTCAAGTGGTTTACAGCCCAAATAAATGATAAGTGTGTACTAATAGCGCACTGTAGCAAACAAGGTCTGTGGCTCCAACTTGCGTTTGAAATTATTTCATGTGCGCTCGGATACTCGGTTGCATTTCTCGGTTGCATGTTCACAGGTTGAGAAATGTAGTTTTTTTTTTTCGCTAAAAATGTAACTAGTTACAGTTACAAGTTACCAATTCTGAAAAGTAACGCGTTACAATTACTCAGAAAGTAACGAATCGTTACTTTGCAGTTACTTTCTTGCAATGAAAATACAAATATCGTCGCCGACTCCTGTCGAAAGAAGAGGCAAAATTCGGTAGTTTCTGGTAGTTTTGCTTCTATAATATTGAATAATTTAAGATATAAGAAATAAAATTGCAGCCAGTTCTAGTCAAATAACATTACTTGTTTGTAATTTATCACTGGCGAAGAAAATATTAATCAACCGTGTATATAAGAATTGCTTTCACGTCATTTCGTCGCGTGAATGATCCTGCGTACGGCGTCACCTATTGTTTCGCCGAGCGCCGTAGACCGAGCACCGGTTCCAAGAAATGACGTAGCGCCGTAAACACCTCGGCCGAAATTAGTCTATTATACCGAATCATTTGGTGCGAGTCAGTCGAGCGAGGCAGGTATTCCGCGTGCCTTCGCGTCGCTCATTGTAACGCGATTATTTTCTACGAGAATCTCGATCATCTACGCACGCGATCGTCTCGTTATTATACGAATTTCGAATTAGAAAACAAGAATAATTAAAATTTTTCTAAAAGTTTATTCTCGTGAAGATCTTTTGCGGAAAATCTTTCGCGCATTAATTATTTAAACACTTAACCAAATACAGTTTGATACGTATAACAATTACTTATATTTTGCAATCTTAGTTTTTACATTGAACACTGTTTTAATAAATTCTATTTTTGTATGTTACAGAAACAACATATCTAACTCCGTTGCTGCGCGTCAGGTGGTGAGTCAGAAACTTTTTGATTATTGAAGCAACGAATCTACATTTCGTAGATTGTAGTTCGTAGATTGTAGATTAGTATATCTCGTAAATTCGTTGCTTAAAAATGGATAGATTTCACAATATAATTTCAGATTAATTTAAATATATTTCATCTATCGAGAGAGAGTGATTGTGATTTTGTGGAGGGTTGGATGCTCCGTTGCAGCACATGACATTTTCATGTAAAATATGACGAATATCTTTGACGTACTTGTCGAGCTAATCTCTTGTAGTCTATCCATTTTTTATTAACAAATTTATATATATGAATTTTTGAAGAGATGGATCGCCAGTAAATAAAGAACAAATAATAAGAATGACGTCGACAATTAACTGGCACAATACATTTCGTTTAGTACAAATACAACGTTTCGACCAGTAATACTGGTCCTTATCAAGTATCAAAAGTCAACCCATTAAGTGTGACAGCAAAAAATCTAAAAAATGATTAAAATGAAAATAGAGATAAATAAGTCAAATGTTACAATACAAACGCATCTTAAAAACTTACGGGTGACATATTACAAATTGGTAGTATAAAAAAAATACATGAAGGAACGAATCACTCTGCACAGTAACACATATGGAGTAGATAAAAATTTCGAAAGACGTCCATTATTGTGAAAAGTCGGTAGAAGACATGTGCGGAGTGATTCGTTCCTTCATGTATTTTTTTTATACTACCAATTTTTAATATGTCACCCGTAAGTTTTTAAGATGCTTTTGTATTGTAACATTTGACTTATTTATCTCTATTTTCATTTTAATCATTTTTTAGATTTTTTGCTGTCACACTTAGGGTTGACTTTTGATACTTGACAAGGTCCAGTATTACTGGTCGAAACGTTGTATTTTTACTAAACGAAATATATTGTGCCAGTTAATTGTCGACGTCATCCTTATTATTTGTTATATATATGACGTGAGATTCTAATATTTTGTCAAAAACGTTGAAACTTTATATTATTTTCATACATTATTTGAAATTATTGACTAACTAAAATATTCAGTTGTCAGTCTGTCTAACGTACGGATAGTTTCTTTTCTCTGGGTCTCACGTCATTTATTCTGTATGTGTATCTCGCGATGTACTTTGATGATGCGTCTCGCATGAATGCATGCATAGTTACACGCATCTTCGTATTTTCGCGGTCGGTCTTCGCGATCAATTTTTCAAAAATTGTTATTAATTGCTTAATTTTATCGATATTATAAATTTTATTTTATCGCGGAATGTAATTAAATTAATATAACGCGAAGTAAATTGTTTTTTCTATATACATGTATACTTTCATTTCAAATTTAAAGATTGAGTCACGAAGAGACAGTCATTATCTGTTCTCGAATAAATAACGGTAGTAAAAATACATTTGATTAGTTTTATATAGCACAATTTTTTAATTAATTTTCTCTTTTAATTAACTTCTCGTTGTCGTGCATTTCGATACGATCGACGCTCGCATATAGTTCGAACCGTACGAAATATCTGTCGGTGACGATAACAAACCGACTATGGGAGGAGTTTTTTTCCTTCCTGATCTCTGGTCAAAATGACCAGACTGTATGGCCAGGAGCAACGAAAGGTATGTCCAATCTGGCCCAACGACGCAGTAAGTGGTCAGTATTGTCCACTTTGATGAAGTGAGTAAGGTGCTCTACGCTATAAGTTGATTTCTTTTTATTTGCCAAAATTTGGGTGGGTTATCTTCTTATCTTCTTTACATATTTTTGCATATGTGCAAGATTAAAAAGACCCCTATTAAATCCTTATTAAATCGCGTCGCGGTTTTAATGAAAGACTTAAGAGTTTATTAACAAAAAGTTGAAACGCGGCTAGGTAGGAAAATCGATAGGACTGTACAGCGGA